ATAAATTTTTTTATTAGTGATGTGGGACCCATTTGAATAAATTTAATGACGTGTCAACCAAAGACAAATTTCATTATTAGTGATGTGAGACCCATTTGAATAGATTTGACACATAGTAACATGACATGTCAAAATATTTATCCATGTCATCACTTTTCTAAATTTTGCTCTTCACGTCATAAAAAAAAATATAAAAAATGCTACATAAGCGAAGTTAACGGCTCAAATTAATAGAAGGACTAACGGAGTGCATTTCTTATAGTTGAGGGATCAAAAAAGTACAAAAAATTATTGAGGGATAAAATATATTCATTTCTTAAAATTGAGGGACCAAATTTAGCATTTAAACAATTAAGTACCCACTCAAAAACAAGTTTTAAAAAAATTGTCTTCTTTACTCATGACAACATGATTTAAGTACAATGAAATTTGATTTAGTTATTAAAGAATAACTATTAATTGATGATATTTAATTAGAATACTTGAATTATAAATAACAATTACTATTTATTAGATGATTCTTTAGTTATTAATAATATTGGAAAGTTAAAAATACTAGGAAAATATGTTGAGAATTTTTTTATTTGTGAAAGCTCAATTGAGGTTGAAGATCAAAATATCTGTTGAGAATTTTTTAATTTGTTAAAAAAAAATGATAAAGGAGGTTTCACGTGGTGACTAAATTATAAAAAAAAAAAAAGGAGGACAAATGTGAGGGCAAATGTGTACTTTCACAATGAATTCAACCAACTGAAATAAAAAAATCACAACAACCTTTCTGCTATCTTAGTTGACGATTGACCTTTGTTCCCAGTGGCGGGAAACCTATCGGCTTGCGGCGCCCTTCTCTCGGATACCCGCCAAAAAGAACGGAATTAGAGTGCTGAGGGAGGCCCAAGCCTGGGTTCTTTCAAACGGGCTAATACTGGGCCAATTTCACGATAAACGGGTTTCACTTTTCAAGCCTATCTAAAAAGCTGACGGCCCAGATTCCGATTTTCCTTTTTTTTTTTTTTTATTTAGATAGAACCCTGATATTAATTTTCTTTTTATTTGGATTTGGATTTAGACCATCTAATTATGTTTGATTTAGCTATATTTGGATTTAGACCATCTAATTATGTTTGATTTAGCTATTAAAAAACAATTTGAATAAAAACGCTGATAATTTGATATTTAAAAGTTAATAATTGTTATTATATGCTATAAAAAAAGAATATTATGTTTTATAATTTTGATTATAAAATATGAATTGTTAAGTGATAAATAATTTATAATATCACATAATCTGTCTTTTACTTTACAATTTAAATTATATAGTTTGATACAATTTAAATTATAAAATATTTTTTTATAAAAATTGTCAACAACCCTTTGCCTAGAGTTTTTATTTTTTTTAAATTTGACAAATAAAAAACAAAGACTTAATCAAATCAGCTTGAGAGAATTTCAAAAAATCATAATATAGAAAAGTACTCATCTAATAAAGAAGAAAAAATCATAATGTAGAAAAGTACTCGTCTAATAAAGAAGATAATTACCAAGTGGGAAATAAAGATCAATTTTCATTTGTTACGTAACTATCATTTGTCAAATTATAAAAGACGAAGGACTCTTTTTTTTTTTCTTTAAATATTAGAGGAAAAATATTTATTTTTTTTGTTTGGTATCTCTTTTGTTTGGGATGCCTGAATTTTAAGCCACATAAAAGACACCCAATTCTATTTATTTTTCTGATATAGTGAAGTTAATAAAAGCCTCACGTAGGTCCTTAGTAGGGGTTCACCAATCCTGGTGTTATATTAAATTTTTTTTTGTTAAAAAAATATTATGTAATTTAGGTCACGTTAAATTATTTAGTATAGATTATTAAATTAAATAAATTCTTTAAATAAAATATAAATCTTCATATTGTGATAATCTATAATTTATAATTTAGATTATAAAACACTACATTATTTTTTATAATATTTTATTTTGGTGAACAATTAATTTTGTTAATTATAAAGTCCTCAGCCAAGTTATTTTCATTTCTTTTAAATTTAATCTGTTTCTGTAATTTTAATTAGTCACATTTTGACTTGATTTGATCTAATTAAGTTACGTATCTTCTAGATCGGATTAAGTTTGTTCATAAATAAAAGTATAGACTACCTCAAACGCTTGACTATATTTGCTTGGAATTCAAGGCATTCGATTTCACTGTCTCCATCGTCCTGACAGCCACCATCTGTTTAATTGTCTTGATGACGGAACTAAGCTTGACCCAGTCATAACAGCTACAGATATAGATGCTTTAAAAGACGTGTACTTATTAAGGAGTATGGTAGCCTAATAAATGCCCACGGCTTTACCCTATTCATCACGTGTTCAACAATTTATGGAGGGGCTTTTGAAGAATTAAATTTTTTTATAAATTTTTTAATTTAAACATGAATAATTTGATTTTCATAAACTTAAATTAATTAAGTCAACCTATCATTTTTGTACGCACAAGGGAACATCATAGGATGCACAAATTGGTAATAAATAGGCTTGTTCAATCTCATTTGGTATTCTTTACGTATGGTTGACTTTTCTTTTATTTTTTTTTTCTCCTTTTTTCCTAAACAAGCAAAATATCTGCTGGTGAGAAACGTGGTTGGCTGACTTTGAAATCCAGACTTTGGTATCAGATTACAACCTCGCATGGGAGGGTATACCCACTTTGAGCCCGTGCTTGGGCATTAGGTTGATTTAATCCCAACTTATTCAATAGATGGTACATTGTTTATACTTTGTCAATAAGAATTATCTCTTCTTAATAGAAAAAATTGAGAAATTTATCATATTTAAGATTTGATTATTTAAAAAATTCATAATTATTTATACGATTTAATTAATAAGATTTGATATGATAATTTTTTATTTTGAACAAATAAAAAATTAAAAAAAATTTCTATTAATCTTAGATGAAGCCCCACAAACATCCACTAAGATGGAACCATTTAAGGACTTGCTTAGGTTTTATTTGACATGGCAATATTAATCCAATAGGATTAATTAGAAGAGTTTTGGTTGGCCTGGAGCAAACCGGTAAGCTGTAAACTTCAAACACAAGGCAAGTGACCAAACCCTCTTGATCTTGTAAATAAGAACAAAGGATTTTCTTACGTCTACGGCTACCTAACACAAAACGAACAAGACAATTCAAAAACGTTTGAGGTCGTCATAAACAAACAAAATTAATCCGGAGTATGTGAATACTTGAACATTCAAACACATTGATGGACAAAGATAACGAACTTTGGACTTCATAATCCATGTTTCTTACTAATTAATATATAGAATAATATTAATTAATTCCGTATTGAATTAAAGAAAAGCAGAAATAATTAATCATTTAGTATTTGATTAAATTATCATATCCTTTCATGACAGCTAGCCATTAGTA